ATCTGGCTTTCTTGCTTTGTACAGTCATCCAAGGGACTCTCAAATATATAAACAATAATTTGAGGATCGCTTTCTTTTCTCTTCCATGGTACTGGCTCTTTCTGGAGGTGTGGATCGGTCAGCCCTGCCGCTTATCCTGGGAGGAGAGGATCTTTGCTTTGTTTCAACCACTCTTTTACGAGGATGCACGATAGATTACGTGGTCCGACCCACTCTGTGCTGGAAGAGCCGTGATGAAGCTTAATAGGGGCATGGCTTAAGTATGGATGTAGAAATACAGCACAGGCTTTTCCTCTGGAGGAATATGGTCTTTTTGCACCAAGGGACAGATGAGTGGGCTGTGAGCGCTCTGGTTTTGTAGAGTTGGTGGTAGAGGAGCAGCTTTTTGTCAAATCCTCCCATCCATAACTACCCGTGTCCTCTCGGACTGCTGCGAATACCTGCTTGCTCCTGGACTGGCAAAGAAAATCTGCGCTAATTTTGTAGTATATGGAGTCTTGCACCGTAGTCTAGCCAAGATACCATGGTCCTCTTGCTTTTACTGGATTCCCTCAAGCACAGCTGACCTTTTAATCCATTTTACACCTCAGAAGTTCACTTGCATTTTGTTTGTGGTTTGGCGTGCGGCGTGTCTCCCGTTAGTAGTGGGCATTGCAGGCTTTTCTCAGGAGCAATCTACGGAGTGTGTTTTGATGCCCTTGCAAAATTATAACTCCCAGACTTAAAGATTTCACTATTTAAGCTAGACTGGGCGCAACACATGGGTTTGTATACAAAGGGAAGGTGGCACAAAGATCACCGCGCTTGCTGCTCCCAAGGTGGTGAATATTTTATCCATCATTTTCATTAATTATTGTCTGCAGGCAGCGCATGGAAGGAGCTGGCTCTGAGGACGAGTGTAGCACGCTGCATTTTCCCACTGCTTGGGCAGCCTCTGACTAGCCACAGCATTTTTATTTTTTTTTTGTGAGATAAGGAGTTATTTCCCCATTTTGCATGTAGGAGCGGGAAGTGGGCAAGACCCTTCCATGCTTCTCGGTGCCCTGGGGGTGCAAGATTTCCTGTCAGCTTTTGCTCCGGTGGCCGTGCCAGTGCTGCTCCCTCTGCACCCTCCTGCTGTGGTGGACACTCCAACAGAATTGAGCATTAATAAGGATAAAATTTAGACCTTACCAAAAAAAAAAAAAAAAAGGGTATTTATGCATAACCTTAGACAAGTTATGCTGGCTAACAGGATTACTTGCTTTGACAACACTAATTACTTAAGTACTCATCCTCATCCCCTGCTGCTTGGGGGAAATGGGCATTGCTGGGTTTCGGGCTCCGGTGCACGCTTCTCGTGACTCTGGTGTGTGGAGGGGTTTTTTTCCTGCAGCCCCCACGAAGCTTTTGAAGTGCTCGACAGCTCTGGGTACGCCGTGGCACGAAGCTCTGCTCCAGCGCTGCACAACCGGCTCGGGGAACTGAGAAATCTTTTTTGGGGTGGGTTAGCAGGAAGGACAGTGAGTAGAAAACTGGCGTGATGTGGAGTAATGCCTTGCCTAGCGTGTGGTCTTTGCTGCATGTGTGCATCCCCACGATGGTGCCGATCTCTCCGGCATCTCCGGAGCTGGTTTTTTTTTTTTCTCCCTGCGCTCCATGCTGGCTGCAGCTTGGCTGGCAGACAGGCACAGCAGAGAAGCCAGTTCCTTATCATGCCCAGCTCCTTGTGGGAGTGGAGCTGTGCAAAGCCGGTGAGGGAACTTACATAAAAGTTCTTGGCTGCTTGCATCGGCGTAGCCTCATATTTTATCTTGCATAACTCCACTTGCTAGGGCTACCAAGAAAAGGCAAAGCAGACCATGCCAGGGAGCTTTTCATGGATCCCTTCTGAATTGTGTGACGGGCAGTGCTGCTCTTGTGGTTGCATGCCATCTCCATTAAGCTTTCTGTCCCAACTTTTGTGGGCTTTTTACTTCGTTAGGGTGGCTCTGGAGTCGGTGGCTGTATTTGAGGGCCTGGGACGATGGGGAAAGTGGTGCTGAACGGTTCCTATTTCTCTGTTCTCTCCCTTATAAATCGTTTGACCTTCAAGCGTTCTCCCACTTCCTTTGGAGTCGGATGGCAGATGCTAGGACAACTGCCCAGTTTGTAGAAGTACTTACAGAGCTCCTTTTGGCCTCCCTTGTTCCAGCTGAACCTATTTGTGTCAGACCTGCAGCTCTCCTCTGCCTCCTTCTGCAGTGCAAACGCTGCCGTCCTCGCGCAGATCCGGAGTGCGGAGGGGGGGAAGAATACGTGAAATTCTGCAAAATGTCAAGTTTTTCATCGGTAACCAGAGGGGTCCCTTTTTTTTTTTCCTTTCCCTCTCTTCTCTTCTAGAGGTGAGCAATATATGCAGTAAAAAAATGTTGTCCAACCTGTGTTGGCATAAGCAGGGGTCTTGCTTAAACCTCTTTAATTGGCAGCTCGGTGGGGAAAGCGCTGTGTGTGCCCTGGACCGTTCAAGGCATGCGGGGCACTTAGCAAGTACCCAGCAGAGCAAAACTTCCAAAGCGGCCGATGAAAGAGGGCCACCTTATTGCGGGCACCGGCTCCCCTTTCATTATATCCGCTCTTGTTCTCCCCTGCCCTACATTTCACGTTATTTGAAAATTGATGTTCAGCTGCAAAGAATCTCTTGTGCTGCCTCTCTGCTTTTTCTCTCTGCCCCCTGGGTTTCCAAGCTAAATAGCTGCTCTATTTGCATGTAAAAGAGATGGGTTGCATTAATGTTAGCCGCTGTATTATCTGACCAGCACCATGGTTAAATTCAACATAGAATCATAGAATGTTTAGGGTTGGAAGGGACCACTAGTGGTCATCTAGTCCAACCCCCCTGCAGGAGCAGGGACACTGCTAACTAGATCAGGTTGCTCAGAGCCCCATCCAACCTGGCCTTGAATGTTCCCAGGGATGGGGCCTCCACTACCTCTCTGGGCAACCTGTTCCAGTGTTTTACCACCCTCATTGTAAAAAATTTCTTCCTTACCTCTAGCCTGAACCTACCCTGTTCTAGTTTAAAACCATTTCCCCTTGTCCTAACACAGCTGGCCCTACTAAAAAGACGTTCCCCATCTTTCCTATAGGCCCCCTTTCTGGACGCAGGGCTCCAGGGGAGGTCTCCCCAGAGCAGAGCAGAGGGGCACAATCCCCTCCTCCTTGACGCTGGCCACGCTTCTCCTGATGCAGCCCAGAGTACGGTTGGCCTTCTGGGCTGCCAGCGCCCATGGCCGGCTCATGTCTAGCTTTTCATCCACCAGCACCCCCAAGTCCCTCTCTGCAGGGCTGCTCTCGATCCTTTCTTCCCCTCCAGTTTGGCATATGGGATGCCTTAACTGGGTGATGGGTAAGGACATCAACTTCATTTGCATATCAGATATTTTTCTTCTCTAGCTGGATTACAGTTAAGTGCAAATCTGTCTTTCACCACATGACACGATCGCATCAGAAGCGGGAGATGTGGAAGCGATGGTACATTATCTAGTGAGTGGGTTTCGTTACGCGCGGCGTGTGTTGGAGGTACTGCTTACTCAGAAGCAGGCTGGCACCGGAATCATTAAAATGGCTGCAAATGGCCCATTTGCCTTCCAGATTTTGGGGTAGTTTGGGGGATGCCCAGCAAAGATCGGGCGGTCTGTCCGTCTGTCTGCAGTCTTACGGACAGCGGTGCCTCCAAGACCCTTTGCAGAGGCGTCCCGAAGGCTGGGAGGGTGAGCGGCAGCTCCCTGCGGTACCCACACCAGGGTAAAAGGCTTTTTTGGGGGGCTGTGCATGCCGCTGTGCGTGCAGCACGAGCGTGCAACGCCCCAGGCAGCACCCCGAAGCAAAACCCATCCCAGCATCTCCTCCTCTCATCCCTACTTGCAGGATCGTTCCCTCGGCGGGGCTTGGTCTTAATCGTTTTGGTCCTGCTGTGACCCGGAGGATGGAGGAGCTGCTGGTTATTCGAGATGTTTTGAGAAGGAAATGGACTCCAGGACCTGAGACGATCTCTGCGCTGCATCGCAGCCATGAGATGCAAATCGCTCCGTGGTGCGCGGGAGCCTCCGGCAACTGGGCCACGTGTTTGGGGCTGTTTGACAGGATTTTACTTCCAGTTTTCCTCTTTTCCTCCAACATCCAGGCCTCCTTCCTCGAATTTCTTTTTGATCAAGACACTGTATAGCCTTTAAATATTACACAGGGGTTGTGTGTCCTCCATCTTTTTCTTTTTTAAATGAGCCAGCCCTAGGAGAAGGTAGATGAGGAAGTCAGATGGGTCTCACTCGTAACTTTTATTTTTGTTTCGTAGGCTTCCTTTCTGCTAGAGGTCACCTTCTCACGGTTACCTAGCATGAAAATAATAATAATGGCTTTTGAGGGGCTGTTTTTCTATCTGGATTTAAAGCCCAGGGAACGTGTTGCAAACAGACGAGGCCTTAACTTGCCTTAAATGTTGGATTCCAGAAAGATTTACCAATTACTAAGCTTGGGGTTAAGCTTTTTGAAGTGGCCTGTACTGAGAGGTGGCGAGGCTGTTGCCTGGTAAAGGCAGCTTCTGCTTTATGGGTATGTGCGGCTTCCTGATAAGCGAGAATTTTACATATTGGGCCTCCTACCTTAATTGCCAGTTCCTGGGAACCGGTGTGTTTTTCTCCTGCCTTTGCTGATATTTGCATGCCGTCCTGTTTTAGTGCAACATGAGGGTGACAGCTATCCCCGCCGAATTAGGAGACGGCTTCGGTGGCCGCGTTTTCTGCGGTTGCATATGGCGTTTAGTCTGCATACGGCGGCTTTTTAAACATGCTGAGGGGTGTATTCAGTTGCTCTGGCAGCATAGCTTTTCTTCTTTCGGTATTTGAGAGCATAATTTCAGTGAAAGTATGTTTCTGAGTGTATGCTCGTCTTGAGGCTTGGGACGTTTTTTTGAAAAGACTGTAATGCTTCCCCCTCCCCGAAAAGAGACGTGTTGCTAACTTCTTCGCTTCCATTTCCAGCTGTCCCATTTCCTCCCACGCAGCGGCTCACTCTGAAGGAGGTGTTTGAGGATGGGAAGCCTAGGCTTGACGTCTTGAAGAGCCACTTGGTAAAGGAAGGGCGCCTGGAAGAGGACGCGGCGCTGAAGATCATCAACGATGGGGCTGCCATCCTCAGGCACGAGAAGACAATGATTGAAGTGGAGGCTCCCATCACAGGTCAGAGAGCTTTCTGCAGCTGGAGTCCTAAATAAGGGCCATCTAGGAAACAGGAGCTGCTCGAAGTAGCAGGTTTTCTGCTGTGTTCCTTCCATCAGCAAGGTTTTTAAATTGCCTGAACTCTCAGAAGAGAGGATTTTGCTGGTGTAGATCGAGCACAGCTTTGCAGAAGCTGGATGTAAAGCAAGGGTGGCTTGGGTCAGCGCACAGCCATGCTATGCTCCTTGTTGCTGTCATGACCTTTCTTTTCTTAGCATGTAATGCTGTTCCTCTTTTGTGCTGTTCTTCCTCCCCTAGTGTGTGGTGACATTCATGGGCAGTTTTTTGACCTGATGAAGTTGTTTGAAGTTGGAGGATCACCCAATAACACCCGCTACCTCTTCCTGGGAGACTACGTGGACAGAGGCTACTTCAGTATAGAGGTGACAAAATTGAGCCTGGGGCTGCTAGCACTAAACTAACCGAAAGTGTTGAACTGAACTAGCAAATACAGGCCTCTCTTACGCTGGATTTTATGCTCTAGCTTGCATGCAAGGAAGAACATGGTGTAGGTAACTCACGGTGCGATTTTTGGCGGGGAAGCAATCTCCAAATGTCATGATTTTGAATTGGATCCTCACCCAGGGGCAGAGTTAAACAGCAGCGGTGGGGTTAATGACTAAACTCTGGCTTCTGAACTCGAGTTTTAATATCACTTGTAGCTGTCAGTCAGGGGAACAAGAGGGAGAGTTGATTGTATGTTGCAGGCAACAGGATCCTACCAGGCAGTGGGAAGCAAATGTTTAAAAACTCGCAGGATTCGGCTTAGCAGGGAAAAGAAAGCTCTACGCTCACTGAGTCACTGCTTCCCTACCGTCCCCCTGAAAGCATCAACCTTGCAATGCCAGAGACGGGGTCGGGAGAAAGGAGCAATAAATCACCTGGGCTGTTGTACATCTTGCTGTGACCCAGGAGCTTAGTGCCGAGGCATTTAATTGTGTATCTAGCCGTGCTGTGCCCGTGTGACAATCAGCCTTGTCACAATAATGCTGTCACCTTACAGGCATCAGCCAAACATCTGGCGTCGTGCCGGGATTTTGCAGCTCTGTGGGATGCCACCGACCAAGTATTGGGTAGCGCTGCGAATTGTTGGTCTTAAAGGGCAAAATAATCGATGGGTCCCCGTGGCTGCTGGTGGCTCGTTGAAGGCCTGGGAGCGGCAGAGCAGGCAGCATGGCAGAGCAGTTAGCAAACTCTGCGAACCCCAAGGGATTGCAGCCTTCTGGTTTCGCAGAGGCAGAGCCGAGTGGAAAAGGAGTCCTTATTCCAGCTGGAGGCAACAAAATGGGGGGAGTTTGGGGAAATGGGCGCGTGAAAGATGGCAAAACTGGCCTGGAATAACAGAGTAAGCGGTTTCTCTTTGAAGAGGGAGGGTGCGTGCCACAGTGCAGGAATAGCTGACCTGTTGGGTCTGCAGAGGAATCTTCCTCAGTTAAATTTTGGGGAGGAATTCTTACGGAGAGCGATGAAGGCAGTTAATGCAAGTGCTGCTTTGAAAGATTCTGCAGAGGATTTAGGGGGGTACCGCCAAGAGCCTGTGCTTTAGCAGCGTTCTGGCTGACTTCCAGCCTTGTGCTTCGTGTGTTCCTAAATAGTGACGGGGAGCCACGGTGTGACGAGGAGCAGCTTCCAGGGTAGCGGGGACGGATGCTCGGAAGGTGGGGTTGTGGCTGTTGGGATCGCTGGTGGTGCTGGCAGGAGGAGCCCCGTAACCCCTGGGGAGGAAGGGGAAGAACAGGCATCTGACCGCTTGTTTAAAGGGCTTGGCTTGCACAAATCGGGTTTGCAGTTTATGTGTATTTACCTGGAAAAGAGATTATATTACAGCACGGCAACTCTTTCTGAGATGAGATGTGGATTTTTATTTTATTTTTTTTTGTATTAATCAAGAAACCTTCAAACGAGAGTTGTCGTACCCTGTGCCTACACGTGAAATTTTACAGATCCTGGGTGGTGAAGTGCTTCTCCCACTCTTAACCCTGCGATTGATCTGACATGGGGATTTTACTCCCAGACCTACAGGAGTGAGTGCCTGAGCTGGGGACTGGTGCCCTCGCCTCTCTATGATGTGATAGTATGGAAGAGTTCCAGGCAGGATTGATGATGAGTCCGCACTGGAGAACAGAAGTGGTGGGAAGAGGTGTTTTATTTTTCTGGGGAGGAATGCCTGAAAATTGTAGGTAAACCTCATCAGGTCTCTGTTGTGGTCTGACACTCTGACCCCAGGGCCTGTGCCAAGGCAGCCCGGTGTTTTCGGGCTTGGAGAACCTTGGGGCAGTCGCTCTTCGTTGGCTCTGAGCAGAAGATTTTCATTCCATGCTGCTCTTGACCCTCCTCCTTCCCCTTTCCCCCGCGTCTGCAGCCCTCCGTTACCCCACAGAGCATTGATCTTTCACGAATCAGGGTGGGCTTTGATTAGTACATGCGGGGGCTGATCCAAATGTCACTGATAAAGCAGAATCTAGAAGACTTGATTCCCTTGTTCCTATTGATGTGTGCCTCTTCTTTCCACCTACTGCAAAGTGCAGCCCATGTGTTTTTAAGAGATTCCCACCTGGGTGTGCAGAAACCGGTTTCTATAGTGAAACAACAGGAGGTTTGCAGCTGGTGTGGAGGATCGCTACAAGCAAAGAGTTAACAGTGCTGAATAGGTGTCTTTGCATTATATATATTTTTTTTTTAAAGATGCCTATAAAATCCAAAGCTGTAGCAGCTGGACTCTGAAGTGCGGAGATTGCTGATCTGTGTGCATTTTGGGTTGTGATTGCTGTATCCCCGGGGCTCAGGTGATGGAAAGGCATCCAGGTTTCCCTGTGCTTTCACCACTGGGAAAGTGGAGAGAGCCAGCATCATCAGGCTTTCATGAGTCACCGCACAAACTTGTGCATCCCTGTGCTGGGTGGGGGATATTATCGAGTGCCTGCCCAGAGCAGCTGATAATCATGACCTTTTAACTGAATGAAATAGGAGGTAATTGTATAATTGCATCCTGATGCAGGCAATCAGGAAACAAGATGCAAAACTGGGGGCCAAGGAGGTGTAAGGTAAGCTGTGTTGCTTGTTAGCAGCCCAAATAACCCTTGCAAGCTTTCCCCATTGCTGTGAGTATTTGGTTGTCAAGGTAAAAGGAGCGGTTTGTGGCTCAGACAAAACCTTTAAAAACCCCGAAAGCCTCTGTTCATCAGCTCAGCTGGGTGTCTTCAACAAATTATTCCTGGCCCTCTGGCTTAGGGAGATTCTCATTTAAAAGCGTTCATTCCCAGGAAGTATAATGAAGCCGTGAAGCGTGGTTTGGTTGGTTTGGGGGCATTTTGGGGGGTTTGTTTTGGTTTTTTTTAAAGAAAAGAGGTGTGGGGGGAGAGGGGAGGGAAGCAACCGTGTGAAAGCTGGGACGGCTGCTGTCTAGTGGACGAGGACTCTGCAAAGCATTTGCTTTTAGTCTGTGCCACAAAACCCGCTGCGACAGCGAGACTAACCGGCCATGGACTGGAACGTTGTGGTGAAGGGGCTGACAGGCAGCACGGAAATTGGGCTGAACGCCTCCATTTGGAGAGGCTGATGAGACAGCGTCCCGATGAAGGGTTCTCTCGTCAGCCTGCAAGTGGGAAGGATGCTTCCTTCAAAGTGCTTTCAGCTTTTAGTTACATCTCCTAGCCCTGATGCGAGAGAGGTCTGTGCCCGTGTTAGTCAATGAGGGACCGTCCTGGTCTGTGAAGCCAGAACTGCTGGAATACAACGAACAGGATTGTTTTATTAAATTAGAAAGTGAAACAATTATTATGATCAAAACCAGAATCTATAGGAAGAGTAGATTTATCGGTACAGGTGGCGTGATAACGGCACGCACCTTTGCCAGACTGGTTTTTCAAATCCAATTACAATGGGACACATGATCGTTGTCTAATTAGGGAATTGTATCTACGGTAATCTTGCCAGGATGGAATGCACTGTTTTATCCAGAACGACATTAAAGAGATCCAGTCGATGTTGTAAGGTGCGAGCGAAGGTAGATTCATGGGCCGGGAGCGGGATGCAGGAGTTCTGCTGTGCTGTTAATTCTGTGCCTACGCCGAGAGGAGCTGGCAGGCTCGATGTTTATAACGTTCTTGTAAATGCTGGGGTTTGTAAATAGGATGAGAGATTCCGGTGTGGCTTGTGGCGGGCAGGTTTGGCAGCAGCCCCTCTTTGCTTCGGGCTGCAGGTGGCAATTCCTCTCGCTGTTCCCCCACCGTCGCCTGCTGAGCTTTCCCCTTGCGAGTGAAAGGGGGGAATCAGATGGGGGCACGGGCGCGAATGCTTGGCTCTGGGCTCCCGACCGATGGGCAGAATAGGGAGAGAAATAGATTATTTGAGCCTAGTAAGCCGTAATTGTCTGGAGTTGCTACTAGGCTATTGTAAACATGCAGTAATCAATTCCTGGGCACGGTGCCTCGAAAGTCTGGGAAAGGGATCGGTACAAAACGCCAGGAAGCATCTGAGGCATGCGAGCGTAGAAACCTCCCTTGTTCCTCCTTCCAGCCCCTCCGGAGCTCGTGAGGGCTGTTGAATGTCCTTTGCTCGTCGTTACCCTGCTAGTACCTGGCAGCCCCCACGTCCTTGTGAAATAACTGCAAACCACGGGGAACCGCAGCGATACCAGAGACATTCGCTCTCAACGTCTGTGGTTTGCTTGCTGCATGTCCAGGAAGAATTGTGGTGCCAGGCGACGCCGTTCACTTCCATTTTGCTTTAAAACACTTGGAATGTATTTTTAAATATCTCTTCTGCAAGTTGCTGACCTTCTGTGCATCCCAAATCCTCCTCTTTCTGTCTCTACTTTCTTGCTTTGCTTTGAACCAGTGATGCCAGGGCTGGTTGCTCTCTCCAGTCCTTAGCAAGTCGCCTGGTTCATTTATAGTGACTTTGACTTTTCAGTTCTCACGCTAGCCCAGAAATGTGACATTCAGGTTGCAAACACAGGAGGTTAAAGCTTTACATCACAGAATAATTATAAATGGTTTTGTTGGGAACATTCCCCCTGTTAACAGATGCAGTAAAATGTTATTTTTGCTTGCCTTAACCCCAGCTTAAATTTCCTGCCACTGGCCTTGTTTCTGTTCAATTTTAAAATCCACGATTTGCTATCCAGTCTTTTTTCTGTGGGGTTGAATTCTGAGTTGGACCCAGACGGGTGCTTTACAGCTCCTTGGGGTTTTAGGGATCCCTGCATGTAGCTGGAATGACTAATTTAGAACTTACCTTGCGGATTCAGTGCTTAAATACCATGATATCCAAGGTGTCTGTGCTGGAAACTAATTTGGAACTGGTTTATTTTGGTTCTGGAAGTGGTTTCCATGCCACAGCAGCTGGTTCCCGGAGATCTGCGCACCAGATCAGCAATGTTTTTAAGTGTAAAACTGTTGACAGACTTCATGGTTCGCGTTCTCAAAGTGTGTGCCGTTTCTGTAGCATGTCAGCCTAAAGGGTAAGCTCTTATTAGAGACTTTAATCCAGATCTTCAGGCTTGCTGTCATTAGGGGTTGTCCTTCCAGCACTCAAAATCAACAAGGGAAATGTGATAACGTTTCCCCCATACTGGATACCTGCTGATTTAGCTGTCAGCTTGACAACGTATAGCACAGAAGGGTAATAAGCGTGCTTGCTTTCCAGCCCTTCCCTTCTTCCCGTAGCCTCTTTGGAAAGCCACCATGAAATATTTCTGGGAGCCTGCTGAAAATGATTGTTTCAGTTTGACTTTGGTCTGCACCTCATCAAAGACGATCTTTTTACAGGTGTTGCTGCTCAGATAGGGGATGTGGAAAGCCCTCTTCAAAGCCAGGAGGCTTTACTAAGCTTGGTTTTTGGCTGGGCTTTTCCTGTTTTGAACTTGAACTTCACATGACTGTCGCGTAAGCAGAAAAACAGAGAGGAGGGGCAAGTCAGTGGGGAAGATGAAGGTTAATTTTTTTCTAGTGTTTAATGCACTTGATAAAATGGCTATCAGGATGGCTGGCTGTTACACTTGATGCTCTCTGGTTTCGATTGCAGTGGGACATCTGGAGCGCAGGTCTCGCCGCGCAGCTGGTTGTGCTTTGCTGCTCTGAAAATGGGTGCTTTCTGCTTTGGTTTCTGCTGGAAGGAAAAGCTGCCCCCACCCAGCCCAGAGCCGGTTTCAGCTGAATGCGATCTCATTTGTCACTTCTCCAACTCAGGCCTAATATAGAGAAATGCTCGGTGTGGCTTTCCCCCACTGGTGAAGTTGGCCAAGATAAGATCTACTGCCGATTATGGAGCTGGGTTTCTATCAGGGTTCCACTTTGAATTCAGCTTGTTGGGTGTCTTCCCAGAAACACTTAGTGAAGTCTACGGATGATTAGTGCCCTATAAAAGGTTTTTATTACATGCCATCTCCTCCTTCCCTTTCTTGCAGTGCGTGCTGTATTTATGGAGTTTAAAGATAAATCATCCCAAAACTTTGTTCCTCCTTCGAGGGAACCACGAGTGCAGGCACCTCACAGAATACTTCACCTTTAAGCAGGAACGTAAGTATCAGAAGTG